CACGACGCCGTCCGCGCTGCGAGAAATGAGTCCGAGCCCTGAGCGGGGGCTAGGAAAAGTTGAGAGTAATTCGGATGAGGTAAGGGATGAGAGTGCACTGTTGAGGTCTGCGGCACCTATGGGGTCTGGAGTGCATATTGCGAGCCAGCCCTACGGGCCCTGGATTTAGAGGGGGAGAGAAGATTTCTTTTTTGTTAAAGACGTATGAGGTAGATTTCTACCGTTTTACCTTTGCATTTTAGGCAGGCTTTGCATTTGGCGGCGTTTTCTTTTCCTTTCGTCTGCTGGTCTCCTATGTGGGAAAGATCTGATGCTTGCTATCAGGGAGAATGGGGGCATTTAGATACCATAGTGCATATTGATTGAATGCATAAGAGCCGTTTGAAGGCTCTATAATTGGCCCGCATAGTTCGCAGTTCAGTTGGAATGTGATTTGAACGCTAATAGTACTTTATATATCAATGTGTAATCTAGTCTTTCTTAAAACCAATCACTCACCTTTAGTTTAAAATTTAAAAGCCCAGATTTCTACTCTTCTTCTACCCTCTGCTGGCTAAAGCGGAAATATAATCCTCTGAACCTTTTCTCTTCTCACCATAGTCTACCATATCGCTTAGGGCGATGGGGTTAGGGTAAATGGAATCAACTCAATTCAATTCAACCTCCTTCCTCCTCTCCCCTCTATTACTACCATTCTCCTAACCCCCCCCTAACGCGCCTAAGATTCCTAGAACCCCTAAAACATCAAAAAAAAAAAAAAAAAAAAGAACAAGGCCTCTCTTTCAACATCCGTATCCACGGTAGAAAGTAATCCTGAAAAGTATCTCAAACCCTTCACTATTTTATAATCTATTTACGGGGGTACAAAGATCGTAGGACTTGGCTCTTCAAGGTCAGGACAATAGTATTTAGGGAAGACTAGGAGGGCTTTACAGAAGGGGGCGGAGGGAGTTAACGAGCACTTTTACAGAAAGGGAATTAGACATGGAATTAAAGTGTAAGACTAGAGTTCAAAAAGAGGGGGCGGCGCTCGCTACACCAACACTAGTTGAGTAAAGAGCACCACAAGGGGTAGATTCACTATGCCGCTTAGGCGGCAGGAAGTGAAAGCATATCAAGCGAGAAGGTATAGGAGAAGGAAAGAGGGGCTAAGTGTAGACGTATGGATGTATCAATCTCCTACATACAAATAACAGTCTAACCGTCGAAAGCATGATCCAATCATATAACTGTTTTAGGCGAGAAGCGCCTTCTACGAAGCGCCAATATGTAAACAATGCTTGTCATTGCATCCCTTTTCCTGGGTCCTAAAATGGCATGGGCTACCCAGAGCACCATCATCTTCCTTGTTAATGCAGCGTATAGCCCATTCGAAAATGGATTGCCACATCCTCTCTCCAGAGACCGGCCTACACAAGTCACCCATCCATCCACCTGCCCAGTTAGGCTAGCATATACCTCATCCCATCGGCCATCCTTTCCTCCTCCCTCTCCGAACCCGTCCCTTCGTCCTGCACTCTACTCTGCCTACGAAGCTGACGTTTCGCCTTCTCAGCCAGATTCCTAAAGACCTCCTCAGCAAGCGCGGGATTTAATGCCAGCTTATCTTTCCAAGAAGATAGATGCTCCTCCGTAAGATACCAAAAATTATCAGCTAGATACTTCCCAAAGGCCCTCATCAGCTGTTCCTCCTCGTCAGACCGAAACTCCGCTTCGTGCGAGGCCCGAAAAAGGTTGCTGGCAAACGAGAGCGCGAGCAGAGGTGGCCAGGGCCGAATCGCCTCCAATTTCTTTAGGATCAGCGTCATTAAATCGTCCATGACCATCTCACTCGCAACCTCGTACGCTTCAGCACATTGAAGGAAAATATCTTCTCGGTTGGCATCCATGACTTCTTTCCTCTCGAGCTCGATTTGCGGTATGCGGTGGCCGAAATCACAGGTGGACAGGTAATCTGCTGCCCATTTGAATTTGGTCGGGTCGATGAGGCGATATGCGCCCCGCCGCATCACCAACTTGTTGTTCTCTAGTGCTAGAATGTCGCGGAAGTATGATCTTTCTGTGACGGATTCGCGCGGAACTACGAATTCTTCATTGTCCGCCCCGATGAAGAAGGTCACAATTCTATTGTCGGCACTGTTAAGTCAATATTAGTAAAATCCCGATGAGAGAAGCGGTAGGAAAGAAGAGTACCTGACGTCTTCCTGGCTGTCTGCGGGCTTACACAATGCGACAGTCGAAGATTTGGTTGCAGGGAGTCCATTTTGTGGAAGAGCCAGACCCTTTTTAAACTTCAAACCCTTTGACGAATTCTCATTACATTCCGTATTTCGGGAGAGCGCGTCGGGCGTGGAGATGAGGTCTCGCCGCGGTTTTGTAGCACGTGGTGCGAGAATGGGAGAGGCTGCGCGTTTAGGCGGGCTTCTCTGTGCTGCCTGAGGACTAGATAGAAAATTCTGTTCTAGTCTTGTAGCGAGCGGGCTCAGATTGGAAGAGACATGAGGTGTCATTTTGTGACCGAGCTTCGGACCATCCCTATCAAATGAAAGATTTTCTTTGTCCCTGGGAAAAGCGCTTGATTGACATTTTTCAAGCGGACTGAAACCGTGAGAGCCTTCACGTGTCTTGCCCAACCTGGAATTCGGGTTTTCATCAGTGAATTGATCAATCTTTGGTTCATTGTCTAAGTCCCATGAATCACTAGTGTCGGCGTCGTCAGAAAACCCCGATGCACCGATGACAACTTTCCAGTGTTCTAGGCCTGAATCATTTTGCCAAGCAGAGTAGACTTCTCGATACGCTTGCTGCACCTGCTCTGGAAGCTCGTGAAGCTCACTTTCAGACTTTGGGTCCAATGGTGACAGCTCGCCTAGGGGTACCCAGCGACTACTACAGTGAGATAACAGTGTAAAGCAGCATAGGCAAACTTACAATTTGAAGTCGCTCATGAATAACACCGGATGGCTAAACCCTTTGGGCATGCCTTTCAGAAAGCGCTTTGGCAGCATATCTTCTGTGCAAACAAAAGCAGGCCATTCGGAGGATGCGAGGACCCAATCCCCGGGGCGGAACTGATTCATAGTTGATTAAAGTGATGAGTAAGAGAAAACTGTGAGTGGTAGGAAGTAGGAGCGCTGGGGAGAGGGTAGTGTCTCATGGAGAGCAGGCGGCGAAGGTGAAGGAGGTAGGTAGGGGTTCACTGTCAGTACCAAGAGATTTCGAAGAGCAAAGAGATTCAATGTCGAGTAGATATATAACCGAGAAATCCTCTGGCGGATCTGATAGGCAAGTACTAGAAGGAAAGCTTGACAGTGTGAGACTAGGACAAAGAAAAGACGTCGTGTAATTGTCGTATACACGCTGGTAGAGACAAGACTACGATCAGTACTGGAAATTTTTAAGGCAAACGGCCGACCTTCAGCTTGCTCAAGCGACGGAAACGATGAAAGAGCTGTAGAGAGATAGAAACATAATGCGGGATATTATGAAATGAAGGAACGAAAATGAAGATGGGCAAATGAGCACATGGGTGTTTGCCCAGGTCATTAATAAAGGGACAAAGCCTTATTGCAGTCCTATCCAGCTTGCCTAGCTTCCTTTGAGACATGAGGTCGTTCGAGTCGCGTGCCATTCGTCTGGTCGAACATAGTAAAGTTGTAAGTTGACAGAGGGTTGGAAGTGGAAACGAAGTTCAGTGAACTATCCCCGCAAACTCCGCCTTACGTAAACCACCTTAAACGGGAGCTTCCCGCGCATCAGCACAACTGGCTTCATCTCCAAAGTTCCAAAGTTCTCAACAACCACCTCCCCTGCGCCAGGTACCGTGCGAAAATTCCAGATTGCGGCCTTGAACCTTTTCACCACTCACGAGTCTCATATCCAGCCCTACCGCTCGCGCAATTTCATTCGTACGGCCACATACCCACCGTTCACCATGCTTGGCGTAGGCAATATGCAACCGCGCCAGTTCGCGGCTCAGATATTGAACTTTGCACTCGTCCTCTCTACTGCCTTTATGCTTTGGAAGGGCCTCTCGGTCGTTTCGGATTCGCCCTCACCGATTGTCGTAGTGTTATCCGGATCTATGGAGCCGGCGTTCCAGCGGGGAGACCTGCTGTTCCTGTGGAATAGGGGACTGGATACACAGATTGGCGAAGTGGTGGTATACAATGTAAAGGGGAAGGATATTCCGATTGTGCATCGTGTTGTTAGAAGATTTGGGGGAGGGTGAGTGGCTTTCCTTTCATGTATGACTCAGGAAAGATATGTCGCCGTAGTATTTGGATGGAGGAAGGCTGCCCCAGTATCTGCTGCAGGAGATATATCTGCAGACTGCCATACTAACATTCCTCTAGAAAAACCCCTCTCCGTCTCCTCACCAAAGGTGACAACAATGCCGCCGACGACACCGAACTCTACGCCTCCGGCCAAAATTTCCTCAACCGCAAAGAAGACGTCATCGGTAGTGTGGTCGGCTACATCCCTTTTGTAGGATATGTGACGATACTACTGAGTGAGTATCCGTGGCTCAAGCAGGCGATGCTGGGCATCATGGGCTTAATGGTTGTACTGCAGAGGGAATGATCATGTAAAGCGTGGGCTTCTTGCGGAACCAATGGATGTTGAACCTCGATTAGCGAATTTCAAATTTCAGGGGCCTTGGGTGGTGTCATTTCTTTTGTGTCCTAGCATGTTGCATATTTCCAGCATGATAGTTTTGATCGATACCCCCTTTACCACAATGGTAGACCCTGCAGGGGCCAAAGGAAACACTATATCCACCCACGACTATGAATGAATCCCTCAACCGTGAACTACATCACTCTTCAACCAGCTAGAGAGAGATATATATATTTATATCTGTCTCTGCGAACCAAAAACCCACACTCAACCTCTGCGCCAAATTCAGCCCTCTAAAGTCCACCTCCCTTATAGCATATGACATCCTACAACCATCCCCAACGCCCAAAACGCCACCATACCAACGTAAAAAAGAAACTTGCGGACGGGGAGATTCGAACTCCCGACCCCCGCCTCTATTCCGCATATACTCGTATGGGAAGGCGGTACCCTAACCACTGGGCTACGCCCGCTCTTGCTTGTTTGATGAAAAGCACTGTTTCGAAATCACTACATAGGCGCACTCGCACTTGTCCGGTGCAGCGCATGCGAGCAAACGGGAGAGAAAGGGCGGCAAGCAGGAATTAGGTATGGGTGGGCGGTCAGGGGAAACTGAGTACCAACTATGGTTTCGGGACTGGGCTGCGGGAGCGAGCGTCTGGTTTTACGTCGGTAACCGTGATGGACATACTGGCGATGAAGGGGCTTTTGGGTCGATTGGTCAAATCTGCAGGAGGTATGGAATAACTTGTGCATGTATATAGGAGGATAAAGGAAGGGGACATAGGGATTTACTCAGTTCCGCACTGCTCATCAAAGCGCACAGAGAGTCCCAGCAGAAATGAATTTTCCTACCACAAAGAGCTAATCGTACACACGGGTCGTTCCCTTCATGAATGTCTCCGTCTTAATCATAAGACGCCAACATCATTGCAAAACGCGGGCCAGAACAGGCTCCCTGCGGAAGTTGAAGTAGCCGCGCGTTCTCGACTTAGGCGGACCCCTATTTGAAAAGAAAAAGTAGCAAGAAAATGAAAACCCTTTCACATATCGTAAGCCCCTGCAAACCCCAGCACCGACCGGATATAAAGAAGCCCATGGCCCATGGCGGCATACAAGAGAAAGGTAGACACAACACAGGCTAGAACACTAATGACGAGCAGACAAGGAGTATGAGGTCAATGGTTACTCAGAGACCTCTTCTTCTTCTTCTTCGTCGGCACCCTGGAATGGATTAGATAAGGACGACGGCAGATCACGAAAGAAGTACTTACTGCAGCATAAGCGGCCTTCTCCTCTTCATACCGCTTCTTATCAGCAGCAGCCTTGGCGTCATAGGGAGCACGCTGCTTCTCATTCAAAGCCTTCCACTTCACGCCAAGCATCTTGCCGACCTCGCCTGTGACATGGTTATTAAACATGAAGATGGAGCAATTGCACTAAACCTTACCGAATTTGATTCCGGGGTTTTCCTCACGGACCTTCTCACGCTGCTCGTTGGCGAAGAACATGTAGGCTGAGAGACCACGTTTGGGCGCGTTGGGATCTAGAAATGCATGAATAACGTGACTGAGCCCAGATCAAGGGACGGCTTACCCTTCTTCTTCTTTCCGCCGTCGGCCTTGTCCTTGCCTTTACCCCGAGTGGAAGCTGCCTTAGGCATGATGAGTGGTTCTTAGAAGTGTCTGAGAGCGGTTGTTAGAGATTGATGCACAGAAATTGGGAGTCAGAAATGTCGCGCGATGCTGAAGTAACCAGTTGCGGAGGATAAGGGAGGATAATGAAATCAACAGCAGCCATCAACCATAGGGAAATGGTCCAGCAAGTCAAGTGGTTGAGAGGCAATGGCCAACAGACATTGACTTTGCACAGCAGAGCAGTTGCTTGCCCGAACATTCGCGATCCAGCCGTGACAATAACCAATCGGAGAATGAAAACTTACAGAAAAGAGTACGGTGAGCAAGAGTTGTTATCTTGGTGATAGTCTGGCAAACAGGGTCAGTGTTGTGGCCACAGGAAAGTAGTTATGGTGACGAAGGAACAAGAAATCACGACGCAACAGGAGGTTGAAGATGACGAAAATGATCTCAGAGGTAGAAGAGTCGCGTGAAGACGGGAAAAAACGCGTGAAAATTTTGTTGCGTCGGGGTGGGTGGATGTTGAGCAATGCAGCGGACGATTATATGAAGCGAGGAGACTCACCAACACTGGTTGTATGCGGTTTGTATGGGGAAGATTTGTATGATGGGTTGTAGTAGTGGGAGGAGAGAGAGAGAGGCGGGCACAGAGAGCAGTTGGGTGGGCGGGGCCTCCTCTCTGTTATTTTGGCTGGGGGCGGCCAGCGGCCAGCCTTTGTTAGGCGGTCACGTGAACATGGCCCAGGTGAGCCCTCCACTTCCGGACTGCAAGGCAAGAGCGCTTGCACGCTTCACCGCTGCAGGCCCGCCGAACCGACACTTCTCAATTTTACACAGTTAAACATATGGAGAGATATTCTACTATGTATAATATGCCCTATTCCCACCCACTTCTAAAGAAAAAACAGCTGTTCGCCTTGTTATCGTTCTGTGTTCTCTGACCAAGGCTGCGAGCTCTTCCACCTGGGCGCGCAGGAAGACAAGGACGCCACTCTGCTACTTACCCTTACAGCGACACGCATTCCTACCAGGTCGGCTGTCAGGTTTCATGTGTGCGTTTATTATTGCTCACCCGCAATTCGTCCCAAGTAAAATTAGAAGAGCCTTTTTGCTGGAACGTGCTATCTCCCTCTTCCCGGGGGCGGCTGGCTGAAAGCAATACTCCTCTCTTCTTCCTCACCCATCCCCTCCCCCCCCCTCCAAAAGTTCCAACAACACCTCCTGCCTCGCGTGCGACAGAGTTGCATCCGCCGCCTCGAAGCGCACTCCATGTTTCCTGCTGTCAGACAGCACAGAAGCCACCAGGAAAATCCCCTTGGAAACCTGTGAGACCCAGCAGGACATAGTGCAGTCCTCTAGCAGTGAGGGACTTGTCACTGCATTGCGAAGTTTTGGCTGATTTACTCGAACCAGCCGCAAACGTCACAATGCACGAGCCCCCGTTGCGGCAGCGTTATTCTGTCCATGGATCCAAGCTTGTTATGGTACAGTGAGATATGTCCATCCGATATACAAAAACCGTCAGAAGAGAACGCGAAAATACAGTTTGAACGCGTCGTCTCTTGGGAAGAGATGCTGGAGCTCTCGATTTACTTTGGAATTAACTCTTTTCATTCCCTTGTGATGCAATAGCGGAGAGATCGCGCGGCCTCTTCGGCGGTACGGGCGTGCGCAACCACCCAGGTAACCAAAAAGGCAGTGCAATCGAAATGGAAGCTAGATGCTTTCGCATGAAGGATACGATAAGGTAGATACGACATCGGGGTACAGTAGAGCACAGCGGAGGTAAGTCAATAAGAAATAAGAGTAAACATACGGTCGTGGGAAAAGGCAACCTCAGGTTCTAAAGGGTGAACATAATTGCACAGGTAACTTAAGCAAATATGCTTACTTAACAGGCCTAGATTTCGTCATATCCTTGGCAACGGGCAAGACCCACAAAAACACCAAGCAAGTGACGTCGTCTATAAACACTATTGCTGAGAGAGCAGTGTCGACAATGAACTTCAATATTGTAACAATGTCATGTTCGAATTCTGTCCAATTAATGGGCCTAGCTAGCACTAGACCAATAAAAAATTCTAAATCCTAGATTTATCCTCAGCCCGACTAGCAAGATTCGCCAGAAGGCCTCGACATTCTGTTATCTCGAAGATCTCAGAAAATAACCCTGGGAGACCTCAGAACATAACTTTGGACGAACATTTAGCACAGGCGTTGGTTCAGATACAGTACCAGTAACTTCAATACCCTTCGACGTATGACCTTCCAAAAAGAAATACAAGCTGAACATCCACCATCGTATACTTCTACGTGTATTTATATTTAGACTCTCCCTGAAGGTATTGCAATTTCCAGCCGGAGAAAAGAAGGACTAAAGAATAGACAGACGGTTACCAACATAGCTAGAAAGTTCTTGCACTGTCCGCCAGTATAGTGAAGGACAAGCATACCGATTATTTGTTCGAACAAGTAAACAAGACCCTTGATCGTGCAGTGTACCTTGACTGCGTTGGCCCCAGGCACTCCTGGACCAAGCAAATTTCGATTGAAGAGCAACCAAAGAACTGGCGTAAGCTGCGTGCTCAGGGTCTCAATCCCCCTTTAGAGACAGCTCATCACTGACACGGTATAGAAAATCAACATCCTGGGTCTAGATATAATCACCAGGGTCTTCATCCGCAGCCAGTCTAATAGATGGCGAAAGTACTAGTACCTTCTCTGCCGTTCTTTTCCTATTATGAGGGCTTTTGGTTCCAGGCGCATATCCACACTCTAACTCTAAACCGACAAATCTGTACTGGGTAGTTGCATTTGGGTATATCTCCTCACACTAACCGTGGAAACTGGCCCTACGAGACTAAGATATCGACGTTGCAGGTCTTACTTAGTGTCTGGCATTATTGAACTGATACCAGAATCCAGAGTGTAAGTTGTAGAGAAGTAGTGAAGCTGAGTTGACTGACGCTCATACGCCCTGTCTTATATATCCGCATCCCACCTCTTTGAGGCTTCGCGGTTGGTACCGACCGGAAATGTTGAGGAAATGAGAACACAGAGACGAAATCGAGAAAGATCCTCTGGAGAGCAAGTGCTTTGTGCTCTCCTAATAAACGGCGATAGTGGGTTTTAGGTTGGTATTTTGTTGAGCTGATTGGATATTGACCGCGATCTAGACAGTCAAGCTTATGTTTTTGACATAGTTGCAATACCCGCTAAAGGGAAGATATAGATGGCCTAAAAGGAGCCCGAGGCGAAAGATAATAACTCGAAGCTCTTGTTGGGAACAAACTTACGGTGAAATGGTCGGTATCTCTCGTATCTGTGGCTTTCTAGGCAAATTTTATCCTCTTCAGTCAGATGTTGGGATATCTTGCGCATATGTGTATGCTAACAGGGCGTTTGATATGCCTCATTGGCATGCCACGTCTGACGATAGTTGTGCGGGGCTCTGTTCCCGCTCGGATGGTTTTTGACATGGAAAAGCCGATAGGGCGCACCGCCAGACTGCTTACACTTGAAAGGGTCATAAATGGTGGTTCAGCCCACATAACACTTAGAAAGTGTGCTTCCGGGATGACGCTGTGCAGACAGCCAGAAATCAATTACGCAACTGTGAGACTGTTGAATCTAGCAGTAATCAGAAGAAAATGAATAGATAAGACGGTCGCAATCTCAATCATGGGGTGCAGCAGAAATCCTGGGAACTCTCAAAGATATGGAGGAAGCCAAAACCCCCAAGGCATTGGAAACAGCGTCATCCTCCGTCGTGGAATCTCCTAGTCGAGAAAATGACAAGCAATATGCTCTCCGGGCCGAGACCAAACTTCAGTCAC